AGAAGGCAGAGAGGTTACGTGGAGGGTACTATTGCAATGAAAAGACACCTTAATGAAGCCCTACAACTACTTTCTTGCTGTAAGTTAACAGTCCCCCTTAACATTCTAACCCTTTCTCATCCGAGTCACGCCCTCACCTCCCCCACCGCCCCCGGCTATTTTGAATGATCTCTCTTAGTTTGTTTCCTGACATTTAAATGATTCCTTTCTTTTCAGCAAAATTGACTTATAATAGTCTCTTTTTTTTTTTTTTAACAGAGGCACGCAAATCTCAATTTACAATGAAATGGAACTTTTAAAATAACCACTAGGGCATTTACACATTCAGCAAGCATTTATTAACATGAACCATATGCCAGGTTCTTTCCTACCCAAGGGGAAAGAAAGAACACAGCCCCACCTCCTTAGTGGGCCACAGTCACGTGGGGGGTGCCAGCCTTTGCTATGCTCCCCGATTCTGTCCGCCAGGGACTGCGCACAGACTGTGAAACCCCCAGAGAAAGATCTCGCAGGCCCAAACTAGGTCTTGCTGGTCTCCCCTTGAAGGTCGTTTTCTTATTATTTTTATGTATTTGATCTTCTAAAAATAATCTTCTTTAGAATTAAAGTAATACATGCTTATTGCAAAAATTCAAACAATACAGAATTGTCTAGTACGAAAAGAGGTCAAAGCCTGCTTAGAAGCCTGGCTCTAAATATCAAGTCAAGTCTACAGCCATGCCACCCTGAACAAGCCTGATCCCGTCTGATCTTGAAGCTAAGCAGGATCAGGCCTGGTTAGTACTTAGATGGGAGACCACCTAGGAAGACCAGGTGCTGTAGGTGTAAAAAATAAAAAAAAAAAAAAAGTAAGGTATTGTAAGCTGACAAGGTCCTTGCAATCTGTGAGGTCAACCAAGGGTTGCCTTGCCTAAAAAAGAAAAAAGTAAAACATGCATAATAATTTTTAAGATGCTATTTAACCGTATTTAGTGATGATATCTGGCACTTAACTGTTTTAAAACTTTATCCTCCCCTGACTTGGCTAACTGATCCATCATCACCATTATCTCTACAGAATTTAAGAACAAAGTTATCTAACCTTATGCTGGTCACCACACAGAGTAAGTTGACAGATTCGGATATTTTAATCTATTTAATCTACGTAGTGGATGCTGTGGTCAGAACTGTGCTGGGGGATCTGAGATACATAAAAGCAGCATCGGGCTTGGTTCCTCACCTGAGGGTGTATGTCATCTTAACAACTCTTTTTAGGCTAATTTTATAATTGCTTTGTAAAACAAAGCTGTTTAAGAAATTGGGATACATTCCAAGACTTTTGAGAGGTCAAAGGTCCCAGGCGGTGGTGAGACAGTGACCTAGTCAGAAGTGAGAAGGAGACAGAACCCAAGGAGACCCTAGCACATAAGTGCCCGTGAGACCACAGGAGTGTGCAAATCTAGTATTTATTGAGTGTGTTTTGTGCTCGGCACTACACAGATGTTGTGGGTGAATACAAAAGATTTAAGAGAGTGACATTCAGTTGGGATTTCACTCACTCCA